CTTCCTGGTGGAGTTTGGAGTCACCCACCCGCCCCTTGGCCCTGGCAGCCTCCCGCGGTGGTGGGGGAGGGGTTGGCCTGCCTCCGGCCCCGGAGCACACCGGGGAAGGCAAGAGGGCCCCTTCCCTCTAGGCGCTGACGGCCCTTGGGGCCACTTAGAGCTGCCCGCCCCCGTCCCCCGCTGTAGGAGAGGCGCCCGGCTTGAGGCGCAGGTCGCAGGGATGGGGGGGGCGCCGACAGCTACGAAGCGGGGCTGGGAGACGCCCCGCACTCACCAGAGTCTGCGCTCGGGCTCCGCTCCAGCGCCGCGACCTGGGGCCGCTCGGGCTCCGCGGAACCCGGCGCTGCCTCTGCTGGCCCGCACAGCTTCTCCAGGCTCCGGGACGCGCCGCCGGGGACGGTCGGCGGGGGCCGCGAACCCAGGGGTAGGGGCTTCCTCTCCAGGACGGTCCGCGGCTCGTCGGCCGGCGCGAACACCAGGCGCGTCGGCGGCGGCGGCTGCTGACCCCCGGGCCGCGCCGGGCAGCCTCCCCGGGCGGGGGCGCGGGCCTGGCCCCGCGGGCCGCCGTCGGCGCTCAGCAGCGAGGTGCGCAGGCCAGCCACGAAGCGCTCGAAGGTCAGGTAGCCGCTGGCCGGGGCCACCTGGCGCAGGCCCTCGAGCACGCCGCGGGGTAACTCGCGCGCGTCCGCGCCCTGCCAGCGGGACTCGATCTCGCGCAGGTGCACGCAGCCGCGCCGCCGGTCGTCCAGGATGTCGAAGAGCGTGCGCAGGCTCTGCAGAAAGGCGCGCGGCAGCCCCTCGGTGCCGGGCGCGGCGGGGAGCCCGCGGCCCGGCTCGGCCATGGCGGCTCCGGCCATGGGCGGCCGCCGCCGGGCTCAGTCCCCGGCTCCGTCCCCGGCTCGGTCCCCGCGCGGCCCGACGGCGGGGCCCAGGCGGCGCGCGCAACGCGCCGCGACAATAGCTGCGACTTTTTGAATGGACCCTCCTCGTGGCGTCAGCGCTCATTAGCATTCGCGGCGGCCATTGGCCGAAGCCGGCCCGTCTGCTCCCGGATTGGCTGAGAGGCCGCCAGCCCGGTTTGATTTTCCGCCGAGGACCCCGCCCCGCGCGCTCCCGCCGCCGTGCCGGCTGCGGCCGGGGATGCGCAGAGGCCCGGGACCAGCGTGGGGCGGGGGCGGGGGCGGGGTCCCGCAACTCGGCCCCCCTGGGCCTCGCGGGTCGGGGAGAGAGCCCCGAGCGGACCCCTTTCAGCTCCCCCCGCCACCCGCAGCCCTCTCGCCGCGGTTCGGCCCTCTCCGAGGGGCGGGGCCTGGGGCCCTACGGAAAACCTGTCCCCTGTGGCCTCGTGGGGGTAAGGATGGGGAGCACACCTCCTCCAGGGATTCACCTTCCCCTCCTGGCTCCCCTGGGGACTCTTCGCCCCCTACTCGGGGTCCCCTGGCCCAGGCACCCCGACTCTGGGGCCCATTTGCCGGGAAAGTCCCAAGAGGACTGTGGGCTCCAGCCAGATGGGCGCTTCCCGTCACAGAGGCCTCTCTGTCCACAGTGCTGCTGGCTCCTCCCCTTGTCCCTGGGGACGGCCTGGCCTTTCCTGCCTACTGCAGGACAAAGCCACTTTTTCCTGTATCCCCAGATCCCCATCTGGTGACCCGCTCTCCTCTGCTTCCACAGTCCTCTGCTCCAGCCTCTTCCTCTGGCTGGACACTTCCTGCAGCGGCTCCCTGACTCTCACAGCCTCTGCAGGCCAGCCGGCAGCCCTGTGTCCCCAGCGGCCCCTGCTTCATTTCCCAGCCAGGATCCCGTCCTTCCGTCTGGCCAGTCTGGGAGGGGGCTGGAGCTTAGCCCCCTGTCTCTTCAAGAAGAGAACTTCCTCCTGTTAGGGTAGTAAAATGAATTTCTTCCTGCCCAGGAATGTGAGGTCAGCTGGGACAGGTGCTATGTTCGGGAGAGTTCCCTGAGTCAGGGCTTCCTGACTCCATTCTAAGTGAGGCTTCCCTTTATTAATTTCATATCCCTCAAAGTTGGGGCTCCCTTGTGGTAAGGAATTTTGGAAAGACCTAGAAAGCTGTGAGCCTGGTGTTTCCCCACGGAGCCTGACCCATCCCCGCCTTCCCTTTAGTGGCAGGACCAAAGTCCCAGCATTCAAGCCGTTTGTCCTGCAGCCCTCCTGCCCTCCTACCCCCCTTCCAGCACACCCGGCCCCGTCCCTCGTCCTTAGGGTACCCAGCAGTCCCTCACCTTGGGCCCTTGCACGTGGTAGCTCTCCCACCAGGAACACCTTTGCCTGTCTGCTCCGGGCTGACCCCTCTGCATCCTTTGAAACTCCACTCAGGTACCTGACCCACACCTTGGAAGCTGTAGTCCTGATCTTCAAAGCATGAGGCTGCCTTCTAGTGATGGTGCTTCCGTCCCCATGAGTCCCTCCCTGTGCTTTCTGGAAGCAGGACAGGGCTGCCCCACGGCCTAGCATGAGTCTGGCCCACAGTGGAGGCTTAGTGGGTGGCCCACACATGGGAAGCCTCATCCTGTGGAAACGCCACCCTTGGGTGGGATGGGGAGGCCTGGAGACAGCTCCGTGGGGGTTCGTGCCAGTGGCCAGCAGCAGCAAGCCATGCTGCTACAGCTCAGGACAGCGGCACCCAGGCCAGGCCCCTGTGAACCTGAGCCCACCACAGAGAGAGAACAAGGCCTTCTCAGAGCATCAGGAACCGTGGGGGAGGAGGCCCGCGGTCTGTGGGCTTCCTGGTGGGCTTCCCTGGCTAGGCACTGGTGGAAGGTATGAAGACACTGGAGTCGGTACCAGCTCTGGGTGTGGGACTAAGGCGTGGTCCCCTGTACTTCCTGTCCTGAATTCTGACCACTTCCTCCTTCTACCGCATTTTCCAGCCTGGTCCAACACTTTCCCAGCTCTGTACCTTTCAGTGTTGCTGTCACCCCCAGGGGCCTCCCAGAGCCCCAGACCAAGTGGGGCCCCTGTGGTTTTTGAGGTGCCAGCCCCAGTTGTAATTATGTTCTCACTGTGCCAGCTTGGAGCTCCCTGGAGGTGGATGGTGGGGCCCTCTGTCCCCAGCCTCACATAGTCACTGTGCCTGTTCCAGGTTCTCTGGTCTCCATCCTGTAGTAACAACCGGGGACCCATGCTGGCCTCTGGACCCTGGCTCCCCTGAACCCTCTGGATGAAGCCCTAGGGCACAAGAAAGGTGATTCCTGGGTCACAAGCCTGCCTTTGCCAGGTTGTCCAGGAGCTTGGTGCTCACTTCTCCCTCGCCGACACCCCCAGCCATCTGCCCAGGTGGGCCAGCTCTCCTTCTCTTGCCCCTCAGGTGCCTCTGGCTACCCAGCCTCAACTGTCCAAACCCTTCTGATCTCAGCCCCAGCCCCCATCTTTAAGCGAGATTTGGGGGTCACTCTGAGATGAACTCTGAGTTCATGTGACACCTGCCTTCAAGGGCACATGTGCAGGGGGTGAGAGTTCCCATGGACTCTGGCCTGGGGTGTGGAGCCCACTCTGCTTCTGGGCTCCCTGCCTTCCATGCACACCCTCCGTCTCTAACATGTACCCTTCAACTACCACAAACGATTGAAGCAGACCATTCATACATTCATTCACTCATCCAGCAAGCAGTCCCTGAACACTTGATGTGGCCCAGTCACTGAGCTAGGTGTGGGATCCAACACTCATTCATTCATTCAACAAACATTTACTGAGTACCTACCATGTGCTGGGCAATGATCTAAGGTGATGGGGCAGAGCAGTGAACCAAACTACCTCCAGCTCTCCTGGAGTTTCCTTTCCTTGGGGGAGCCGGGCAGCAGAGAATGCAGAAAGACGAGAAGGAACAGAGACGAGTGGGAGGGTGCTCTCTGAGCCAACATGACCCAGGAGGGTCTCCGCAAGGAGGCAACACACGAATAGAGACCTGGCAAAGTGGGGCAGGAGGTCACTTTCTCGGAAAGAGTAGTCCAGGCAGGAGGAACAGCAAGTGCAAAGGCCCTGTGGCAGGTCTAAGGCTACTCTTGGAAGATATCTTCTTTCAGGTCCACCAGGACTTAGAGTGGGCCCCCAGGGGGTGGTGGGAAGCTCTGCTTCCTGACCCAGGAAGGGGGTGTGTGGGAGTCTCTGTGCAGAACCTGCCTGCAAAGAGATACAATTGCCTTAACAGAGGTTAGCTGGGGCAGGCCTGAGAGAGATGTTATTTTTCCTTTCAGGTCCCAAAGTGCCATTTGAATTTGTTTTACCCTTGAGCATGTATTACTTTTAGACTTAATAAAACTAATTTCTAGAAGAAAGCTTTGTCCCAAAATGGCCAAAGCTACTCACTATTTTTCATGAGGGAGTTTATAAACAGCAGGGTATCTATATCTATCGATCTATATATTTTTAAATAAACGGCAAGATATATTAAACTCTGATAGTTAATATAGCATGGCAGGGCGAAGGGCTGCTCCTGAGCGGTTCTGGTTACATGGCAATGAGGAGGAGGGATGTGAAGGAGGAAGCCCTCAAGGATGCAGGGTGGCCTTCTTGGGGGTCCTTGCTGGCATCCAGACGCCTGACCCTACTGCTGATCTGGCTCTATCCTTCCCAGCCCAGCCGCCAAGAGTCTTGGTCAGTGCAAATGGCCACATGCAGGGACAGACCCTGGCCTCCCCCTCAGGTGTCCTGACCGTCAGGGCTGTGGGTCCAGAAGGGGGTGCATTAGAGCTGAAGTCAGTCCTCACGTGCCCGGGCCAGGGGCGTCGCAGATCCCGTGAGGGGGCTTCCCGACTCGGGGCGCCCCGGGCCCCTATGCCTCAGGCGTCCCGGCGCCCTGACTCGGCCCCTCCGTGTCCTGCGGCGGGCGAGACCCCAGAGCTCGCCGGCCGCGGCCGAGCGGACAGGGGCGGGGTCAGGGCCGGAGAGGGGCGGGGCACTCGGAGGCGGGGTCGAGGCGGGGCGCCCTGGTCCCGCCTCTCTGGGGTCGTCACCGCCCGCTGGGTCCCGTGACGCCCGTAGGAGCGCGCCGGTCACGAGTACCCGCGCGGCCGACAGCGGCGACATGGCCTCGGAGCGGGATGTACGCGCGCGGCTGCAGCGCGCTGGCCAGGAACACCTGCTGCGCTTCTGCGCCGAGCTGGCGCCGGGGCCGCGCGCCGCCCTCCTGGCGGAGCTGGGGGCGCTGGAGCCGGAGGCGCTGAGCGAGCACTGCCGGCGCGCGGCTGCAGCCTGCGCGCACCCCCCGGGCCCGCCGCCCGACCTGGCCGCGCGCCTGCGGCCCCTGCCCCCCGAGTGCGTGGGCAGCGCGACCCGGTGCGACCCGGAGGTGCGGCGGCTCTGGGAGGAGGAAGGTAGGCGGGGCGGGGGTCCCGGACGGGGTGGGCCTGGCCGGCGGAGGGGGTCTGGCCCCAAGTTGGGGGATAGGAGAGGTTGTACTTGGAGGAGTTAAGCGTGCCTCACTGCTTTCACTCGCAGCTCGCGACTGGGGTGCGGGGCTCCAAACGCTGCCAAGGTGGTAGCCGTCCCCAGGCGGCTTGCCCTCGGGAGAGAGAGTGCTTTGTGCGGGTGCACCTGTCTAGCCAGCAGCCCAGCCCGCAGGCGTATTGACCGCAGGGAACCCTTGCACAATTGCCCTCGCTCCCTTTCACATCAGCGCTGGCCCAGGTGCACTCTTGGCCTCACAGGTGAGGCACGTGCTCCTGGAGGGAAGCCTGCCCGGGGCCCCCACTGCACTGCTCTGACCAGCCTGACCTGGTGTTCCTTCTGAAGGACCCAGGCTGGGAATGAACCCTGGAGGACATCATCAGGACCCCTGATGGGTCCGGACAAGGTGGGGCGTGGGTGGGGCCCTGGCCCACAGGGGATCAGAATGTTATTTGGAAGCTTCTGTTCTGTGGCTATCAGAAGTCTTAGAGTCCTAGACCCAGGTGTGGCTTGCTCTCAGGTGAAGGGGGGGTTGTGTGGCAGGTCCCAGGTGTCCCCCTCATGGCACCTGCACCTCCAGGTTTCCGCCAGATCGCCCTGAACAAGGTGGCCGTGCTGCTGCTGGCCGGGGGGCAGGGCACTCGCCTGGGCGTGACCTACCCCAAAGGCATGTACCAGGTGGGGCTGCCCAGCCAGAAGACCCTGTATCAGCTGCAGGCGGAACGGATTCAGCGGGTGGAGCAGCTTGCTGGCCAGCGCCATGGGACCCGCTGCACCATCCCCTGGTGTGCCTTCTCTGCATTGTCTTGTCCCCAGAATGACCCGCCGCCCCTGTAGCCCCAGCCCTGTCCCACACCCAGACCCGGACCCCAGGGCCAGCCCCTGTCACACCCTGGCCTGCTCAGCCTTGCCTCCCCTCGAAGGTACATCATGACGAGTGAGTTCACGCTGGGGCCCACGGCCAGGTTCTTCAAGGAGCATGACTTCTTCCACCTGGACCCCAACAACGTGATCATGTTTGAGCAGCGCATGCTACCTGCTGTGACCTTTGATGGCAGGGCCATCCTGGAGCAGAAAGACAAGGTTGCCATGGCCCCAGGTATGCCCCACCCCTGAGCCAGGGAAGGACTGTCTGGCTAGAACAAGGAGCTAATTAGAGGTCAGGAGGACTGTGGCAGAGGCCAGAATCGTATGCCTGAAGGCTGTGTGGTCCCGGGTGAGTGGCCTCTCCTCTCTGGGCCGTGGTTCCCATCTGCCACATGAAACAACCATAGGGCTACTTGGATAGTGATGGAGAGCCGCCTCAGGTGCAAGGTCCAGCCCCAGGGGCCTCCCCTGCCTCCAGCATGCCCGGGACTAGATGGCTGAAGCCCCGCGGGAGTCCTCCAAAGAGTGGTCCCTCCCTCTGCAGATGGCAATGGGGGACTGTACTGTGCACTGTCAGACCACCAGATTCTAGAGGACATGGGGCGGCGGGGAGTGGAGTTCGTGCACGTGTACTGTGTGGACAACATCCTCGTGCGGCTGGCTGACCCTGTCTTCATCGGTTTTTGCGTGCTCCGAGGTGCAGACTGTGGGGCCAAGGTGAGCCCGCCCTGCCAACCTTGCCCAGCCCCCTCCGCCCAGCCCTGCCCCCGGTCCACCTGGCCCCACCCCAGCCAGCCCTCCCACCCCGGGCCTTGGCTGCAGGTGGTGGAAAAGGCGGACCCCGAGGAGCCCGTGGGTGTGGTGTGCCAGGTGGACGGGGTCCCCCAGGTGGTGGAGTACAGCGAGATTAGCCCCGAGACTGCGCAGCTTCGTAGGCCCGATGGGAGCCTGCTCTACAGCCTGGGCAACATCTGCAACCACTTCTTCACCCGAGACTTCCTCCAGATGGTCAGCAGGTGGGCTTTGCAGTTGGCCGCGGGTGCTGGCCAGAGTGGCCTGAGCCAAGTGGGGCTGTGGGTTGGGCTGCAGAAAGGCCCTGCATTTCAACAAGCCAGGGGCCCCAGAGCCCCGGCAGCTGCGTCCGTGAGGCTCTGGGGCCACGTCGGCCGGCTCTCCCCGCCATGCCGTGGCAGTTGCCTGCAGGCACCACCCCTTAGCCTGTGGCTTACCAGCTGCCATTTCATCTGGGCGGGGACGTGGCCACTGGGGCCTGTCTCTCTCTCGGGCCGGGAGGGGGGTGCAAGGGATGCCTGTGCCCTTCCGGAGACCGGGCTCAGCGCCAGCGCTCCTACCAGCTATCTTGCCTGGCTGGGTGTGCAGAGAGGTGGGGATGGCGCTCCCGGCGGCTCCCGTACAGCAGGCTCCCCGCCGGGAGCGCCATCCCGTCTGAACTGTGTCTTTCCTTCTATTGTCCTCCTGTGCCCCCAGCAAGTTTGAGCCCTTGCTGAAGCCACATGTGGCTGTGAAGAAGGTCCCATACGTGGATGAGGAGGGAAATCCGGTAAAGCCGATAAAACCAAACGGGATAAAGATGGAGAAGTTTGTGTTTGATGTGTTCCAGTTTGCTAAGTTAGTGGCAGAAGTCATTTATTTTTTCCTTCTTCCCTCTCTCTGTTTTGGTGGTGGGTTCTGAGGCCTCGTTGGGCCGGGAAGTGGAGGCTCGCGGGGGACACAGTGGGAGCGCCCCTTTGCAGGTGGGGAGTAGGGGCTGTAGGCAGGCTCAGGGAGAAGGCCAGAGGAAGCAGCCCCAGTGGTGTGAGCCTGGCAGCATCTGGGGTGGCCGCAATCTTTGGGGCTTTGTACCCTGGGAGACACCCCTGCCCCTCCTGAGCCTTCCGTCTGTCCCTCCTAAGCCCTCTGTCTGCTCCTGGCCTGGGTTTAGGAGGCTGTTTCCAGGCCAGGTGGCTGGGGGACTTCCAAGGGGTGTGGCCCTCACCCTGGGGTCCTGGGATCTGGGCGTTTGGCTGGTGGGAATGGAAGGACTTCAAGCAGCCTCAGAGGCAAAGACGCATGCAGTGCCTGTGGGCCTCCTCCACGGAGGCGACCCCCATTTAGTCATTGGAACCCCAGCACAGCCTTCACCTGCCCAGGACCGGGGCCTCTGGGCCAGGACTTCAGGTCACTGGTTCTTTTCCACACAGGAGCTTCGTGGCCTTTGAGGTGTCCCGGGAGGAGGAGTTCTCTCCGTTGAAGAATGCTGCCTCGGCTGCCAGGGACAACCCCGCCACGACTCGGCGTGCCCTGCTCATGCAGCATTACCGCTGGGCCCTGCAGGCAGGGGCCCACTTCCTGGATGCCTATGGGGCCCGGCTCCCTGAACTGCCCAGGTGAGTGTGGGCCTCAGCATGCCCTCCAAAGGACAAGGGAGTCCTGTTCCAGGCCCCAGCCCCAGGGCCTTGCGGGCTGTGCTGCGGTCTGAGCTGTGGCGGGGGCTCAAGCTCCACACCACGCTGAGTACAGGTGGCCCGGTGCCCTGCCCGGCCATACAGCGGCTGCCTGCAGCCTGGGGCCCAGCCCCTCGAGGTCAGCTCAGGGCCCGGGGTGAGCTGGGTGGCTGCCACCCTTGCTAACTCACTCATAAGCTTTGAAACCAAGACCTAGCCATGACATTTGGAAGATAGCAAGGCAGGTCACTCTTCAGGGCTGGCAAAGGAAAGGACGTGAGGTTTCTCTGTCCTCAGGTATCTGCAGCCAACACCTGTATCTGGCGGCCCAGGTGCTGTGTGGGGGCCTGTGGGCTGAGGGGTGTTTTCCTGCCCAAATAAGAGCCTGTAACTTGGGCAGGGGCAGTGTGCTGAGGGCGCTGAGTGTGCAGAGGCAGGGGGTATAGCCGAGCAAAGAACTTGGGGAGCGGGGTCCGGCAAGCACAGCGCAGGGCACGCGCCCAGGACCATGTGCTGACACAGGGGTTCCCGCAGCCCGCCCAGCAGCAGAGAGCCCCCTGTCATCTGTGAGATCTCGCCCTTGGTGTCCTACTCTGGAGAGGTGAGCGCCCACTGGCCCACGTGGGCTTTCTGGGGTAGGGCATGCATGATCGGGGGGGGCTGGGGAGAAGTGGGTGCGGGGGTAGAAAGTCAGAGATCTGACTCAGTCTACCTATAAGGAAATAGTTTAAGTTACAGAGGATCTTCCGGGACATGGGGTGAGTGACGAATCAAGAGGCCCTCACAGGTCTTGGGGGGGCCAGGAGGATGTCAGCTGGGGTCAGAGTTTGGGGTTCTGGCCAGGAAGACTTTATGGGAGCCTTGCTGAGGGAGGAATGCCGGCCCCAACCCTCTGAGAAGATCTAGCCAGAGCTTGCCCGAATGTCCCATAAGGGCCTGGGTCTAGAAGTGGCATCCAACCATTGCTACTGGAAGCCTCTCTGGCCCTACCCCACACTAGCTCGAGGTGAATTTGTACCCCCTTAAGGACTGAGAGGTGAATATGAGGCCATCATGACTTTCTTGTTTCCAGGGTCTGGAGGAATACCTGCAAGGCCGGGAGTTCCGGTCCCCACTCATCCTGGATGAGAACCAGGCCAGGGCTCTGCAGCTCTGACTCGATCCCAGAACTGCCAACCCTGGGGCCTGAGGGGCGCGGACACGGGTA